GCACTCCTAGGGTACACTCCTACTTGGTTGCCTTCGGTAAACGGTCATTGAGTATAGGATGCTTTAGTGGTCCTCCTTTTGTCCAAAGATCAAAGTTGCCTCAGAATGGTTGCCTCGGATTTGTTGCCTCGAATAATTGATCTAAGACATTAGGGTTACTACTAAAACGTCCTAACATTGCTTTAGTGACCGCACGTCCCTTTCGAATTGACCCTCAAAACTCCAACGACGGTGCTACCTACTCACTAATAGTAGGATAGCGCTGTCTAAAGGGAACGAATATAGAACGATTCTTTTTTTGAGTAAGTAGATTAGTTCTTAAGTACTTGCTCAATCAAAACAAACTTTTTCACACTTACACTCCTTTTCAAACAAAGTTTTCAAAAACACTTCATTACACTCTTGAAGACAGAAGCAAGAGTTAAATCGAAGCCAAAACAAAAACTTTTCAAATCACACAAACACAAAAAGAAGCAATTTTGAAAATGATGAGCAAGTACCTAAGAGCCCGTAGATAACTACGGATAGAAAGGGTGCTAATACCTTCCATTTCTATAATCTACCCCCCGTACTCAGAAATATCTCGAAAAAAGGAATTTTTCTGTGCTTTTTTCCTTTCCTTGTTGGATAAAATAAAATTCGGTGGTAACTCTTGCTTACCACGACATTTTGCAAACACAAACGCAAAACACAAACCAACATTCCTAAAAAACAGTCCCGATTCTGGCCACCGTATCACACTGTGAATTCTCACCCTTATGTGAAATGATGTTTTGTACGACATCGCTCGGGTACCAAAGATAGCGGTGCTTCTAGCAAGGATTAGTTGGAGGAGCTAGTTTTTTGTTTATCCTTATTTAGATAGTGAGTCATGCTCTGGTCATGTAACACGGAGAAACACTTGAACTCATGTTTATTTTGAGAGATATTTGTGATACTCTCTTTTAATTATGATGTATTGAGATTATGTTATGGTTGAACTTTAGTGCCTAATATTTTATTGCATGAATTATATTATGAGATTCAATTATTGATATCGTTTTGAAAAGAGAGTTATTCTGCTGCGAGATGCATATGTGTATACAATATGATTTTAAATGCGTGTTATGAGCATGACTGGTGTATTTGTGTTTGGTTTTTGAAGTAAATGTGACGCCCTCTTTGATATGCATGTTAATTTACTCTGATTATGTCATATATTTATGCGGGGATTTAAGGGGTGTTACACTTTCAATGGTAGATTGACCGACCTTACTTTGCAAGGTGAGGATGAGATATTCATATATATTTTTGTGATTTGGGTTTCTTTATGGTCAAACGATAAATTTGTACTTTGGGGATGAACATATAATGTCAGCTACTTAACTACAACCAAGAGACCCGTTATAGACACTCTTTTTTTCCTCTTGTGTTACACCCTTTTATTCATAAGAGAGGAGACAATTTCAAGTTTTTTTCTTCATGAATGGTATCTTGATGATGAGACTACCATATGAGATTCATATTAGGTATATATGTCATTGGTAGAGTATCTTACTATCGTTAGATATTGTCTTACGAGTGGGAGTATATGTGAAGAATTATGTGCTTATGAATTTCTTGGCCGACTTAAATGCTGGAAGATCAACTCTTAGGTCATCTGATGTTCTAGTGTACGAGTGTGTATGAGGGAAAAATAAATGTGCAGAATTGGATAGGATTTCTCCATTGAAAGTTTTACTGTAGGATAGACAATCCTCAAAGTGGCTTCAAGAAAAGTGATGGTTAAACATTTGACAATGTGTTTGGACAATCAACAATTTTTTATATCATTTGTATGTAACACTTTTGACTCTTTAGCGCTAGAGACAATTGATCATTTACAGAATTCCAAGATTCATCCATAGAAATGTTGTATTTCTTAAGACCACAAACATAATTTTTAAAAAGATTGACTTTTTTCATTAAAAAAAAAGTCCCAAACACAATTTATTGTAGGTTTGTTTCCAATTTTTGTATAATCTTTATTATTATTATTATTATTATTATTATTATTATTATTATTATTATTATTATTATTATTATTATTATTATTATTATTATTATTATTGTTGTTGTTGTTGTTATTATTATTATTATTATTAAAAATATTTATTATTTTCTTAAGAAAAAATAAAGGTATATTTAGTCCACAAGTTCCTTAACTTAATTTATTGTTCTGCTTTAGTCCCTTAACTAAAAAATATTACAAGTTAGTCCTTTAACTTCATTTCAATTATCTTATTTGGTCTTTTCCGTCAATTTCTGCCAAAAAAAAAAATTAAATTCTGGTGACGTGGATGTAGAACAAGGCTCAAAGTCTAAATGTTATTCAATATTTATATTATAATATAAGATTTTCACTTAAATATGTGTCATAAAGATGATCACAAAAAAATTATATTAAGTGAAAATCTTATTTTATAGTATAAACGATGAGTCACATTTAAATCTTGAATTTTGTTGTACATGCACAAACTAGAACTTCATGTTTTTTTTTTCTTCTAAAAATTGATGAAAGGAATCAAATAAGATATATAAATGAAGCTAAATAATTAACTTGTAATATTTTTTAGTTAAGAGATTAAAAGAGAACATTAAATTAAATTAAGAGACTAAAATATATATTAAGTCAAAAATAAAAAAAATTCTTTAATCAATTGAATATACTATCCATTTCATAGTCGGTTACCTATTAACATCACAATATCTATCATCATAATTTAGAGATGAAACACATTATTTAGAAATAGGGTTGCTTAGAATAAAGAATATGATATTGATACCTAATGCTAAGGTGGAACATTCAAAATATCTAACGTTTCAAAGACTTTTCTTGGATATGACACAGATTAGAGTTGCAAACAATTCAAAAGGATGATGCATGCATATACTCTTCCAAAGAGGCAAAAGATTATAACAAATTCCGGGCACCGACGGTTACTAGATGATAATCGTATCACGCTTTGATTTAGTGGATTGAATATAGAAGAAATTGAACCACGAGTTTTTGTATACTTCAAATTGTAGATATTTTATTTAGGATTTTAATGTCCGTATTTGAAATCATTTTAAAGCCATGACTCTCAAACAAACAAACAAAACGTTAGTATGAAAAATTAATATTAAAATAGTAATGCAGTCAGGTTCACCTCGTCATCATCACTTGAAAATTCCAATTATGGAAATATTACGTTTGACCAAATTAACTAACCATTTTGAAATCAAGACTCATCCAGACACCAATGAACCTCAAATCAAGGAAGTTCATAATAATTCTTGTGTATGCAATTTTACATTTGAAGAGATTAACCAATTAATATTGTAAGAGATTCGTACTTCTTAAGCAAGTAGTTAAGGGAGACATGAATAATGCTCTAATTAGGTTTTGGTCTATAACATATCATCTAAGAAACAAATTTGAGAAATCTTGATAATCATAAAGATGTGGTAGACATCCGGTATACTTTGATGATAAAATCTTAAGTGAACGAAGATCATGTACATGAAGATGTTAATGTTGAAAGTGTTGAATCAAGAGTCTCTATAATAAATGTTAATGAAGATGACTATCTTCTTTGTGCCAACAAAATTAAAAACAAGAGTACTCATGAGAAGGACCATGTGGTGAAGATGAATGACAACATTGATAATAATGTCTATGCTCATGAAGATTCCATCTCTGAGAACAATGAAGTTCACACTGAGTTTGTACAAGCTACTGAAGATGTCAATCCCTGCATACATATACTGAAGAGAAAGAATTTAAAGTGGATAGCTACTGAGAGAGAGAATTCAAAAGAAGCTCTGACAAATGATGAAAATGATCAGGAATTAGAAATTACCAGTTGTGTCTGTATGGATGTTAACAACTTGAAGAGTGATTATATGGAAGACAATGAGAATGTGACAATTCTCATTATTAGGGAATACATTGTGCAATGTAAATTGTTAGTCAAGAAGCTAAAGCATGTTGTTCATCAAATACAGTTTGAGTTTGAAGTGAGCATGGTAGGAGATAATATCTACCACTCTAATTATCAAGTTTAACAAATAAATAAATCATTATGTAGATTTGCTAGAAGAAGTTGCACTCATATGTGGTGGAGTGAACCAATGCTCAAAGATGTCCTCAAAGGTGATGAAGAAGATGTTGTCTAAGATGTGTCAGACATCACGAGTAACATAGTGATAAAGGTCCCATCTCAGAGGGAGGATGATTAACCAACTGAAGCAAATGCCTAGATCATTTTGTTCAGACTAGATGGAAAAAAGTTTTCCACAAATAATGAGGAAAGAATTTTGAATGAGATATGTTTGTATCACGGAAGGATAGGTCTTGAAAGAAAGTTGTCAATATAAGCCTTAAAATTTGAAGAAGTGGTACAAGTGTTGAAAGATATATGTGTAACAAACGAGCAAAACCTTATGATGAGTAACATTGATGACAATGAAGATAATATTAAGAGCTCTTTGGAAAAATTCCACGCTCCTGTCAACAACATCATATCTAGGATAAGCAAAGAGCAAGTATGCAAAGCTGAACACGGTTCTGTGGGAAGCAATGGAAATGACTTAATTTGGATAAGTCGAATGTTGAAGAAGTACAATGTGGGGAAATATGTCATGACATTGATCTGGACATTCTTACCAAAGCTTTGGATGGAAATCAAATTAAAATACTAAGGTATATCCTTGGTATTTGCATCTTTCAGAGTCCATAGAAATCAATATTGGGGAGTTGTGTCAAAAGAAAAAAAGCGTACGTTTCTCTCCCTTAAGACTACTTTGGCACAAAAAATAAGGAAGCTTCCTTGGTTATATGAGGAGTGGTATAACTGGGATGACGTTACTAGCAAGAAAAAAAGACATCTTGCATTATCCTACTCTCAGATTACATATCCTTCCCTCAACATAAATCAAAATCAAGTTTGTGAAAAAAAATTGTCCAAGAGATTGAGGCCTCAGAGGAGGTTATTGATATGCTAGAGTTGTGGTTGAACAAATCCAAAGAATCTCAAGAGGTTAAAAATAGCATCTCAGTTGTTGAACCAGCTGATGGAACAGACTCTAAGAAGATTCTAATCAAGAATCTGAATCTTGAAAGGATAAAGAAGATAAATGCTATTGTAAAAGACCTAATGAATCTGGATGTAAGTGATTTTGAATCAGATGAAGACCTTGAGAACTGCATGGATTCACTCATGGATGAAGATCAAAGGCCTCTTGATGGAATTTTGTTAGCCCTTGTGTAACACCCCATTTCTACCCAACGAATTATATAAAATCAGAGTTACAAAATTTCGACATACAAATGAGATGCTACACATTCAACTTGGAAAAAACGACATTCAATCACTTATAGTTCAGATACATAACACATCAAATTCGGATGAACCGATAACAACCTGTTTAGTCTTTAAAAATAGAACAACTTTTGTAATTAAGCAGCGAAATCATAATTTTCAACTCAAATGACATAACATCTTTGTCCAACTGAAAACAACTTCAAAATAACAAGTACTTAACGGAAACAACTTAAAATTCAGAAACAAAAGTAAAATTAACAATAAAGTAACATGCTTTCATCCCCCCGAGTGTTACGTATCAGAGCAACGACACCGACTCGAACCACTGAAGGTAAACAGTCTTCACTCAGGATTACCTGCACGTTACCAACATATGGGTAACATTCAAACAGAAGGGGTGAGATATCAAATAATATAATAGGATGTATGATAAATAATATATTAGAATCAGTTCATACAAAATCACCACGTCGCATCTCTTTAACAACATTTAACAAAATTAATTTATCTATACAACAACTCAGGATGAACATGAAACGCGACTTGTTTTTATGCACATGCATGTGGTACCAATGAAGTAAAACTCCCAACTTAATAATATTCCAATTAATAGAGGCAACAACAAGGCATAAGCCTTCAACTTTATATTTGTCAATCCAGGCTAACTTATCGAGCATGAGCTCCCAACTTGACATGTTATGTATGCAACAACAACATGAATGTAGTAACAACAACAACAATAATTCAACAACAACTTAACACAATTAAACCTTGGCCATAAGCCTACAACTTAATATCTGCCAATAATTAGAGGCATCTCAACGAAATTCCACATTACCTGTAAATTCTCAAATTACAGCAAAGTATACAATACACCGTATCAACCAAAATATACTATGATGTCCTGCGTAATTATTCGGGTAATTCGACTATATATTGCTAGTCACTTATTAATTAGTATCTCTCCTGCTACTAACTTATTTTTACTATAATTCATTAATCTTATAGAGATAAAATACCTTACTAATTCTAATTATTATACTGAGATTATTAAACTAATTTAAATAACTAAATAGCCTGCACGGGAATAACAATAGGGACCTTAATAATGACGTGTACCCCTCGACACAGTGGCCATTCCGCTCAGTACCTTCCATTCCTTCCTCTGTACCGGTCAACACCCCATACTTTGGCACGCCGTGTTGTCTTGTGCCGCTCGAAACAACTACCTATTCCCCTCGGCTCACCCTGAAGCCCGATGCCGCTCGACACCTAGCCCCTATGCTCCTCGGCACATCTCGCAGCCTTATGCTGCTCAACACAAATACCTGTGCTTCTCGGCACGGTGTGTCTTCACTGTTTGAACAAAATTCATCCAGTCTGTGATGAACGTTAACCCAGCCTTAGAGTATTCTCTTCAACCATTAATTTTCGACCAACGACATGGATTAACATGGTAACATGGCAACTATATCTCCTACTAAAAGATTCATCAATTGTACAAGACAATCATACATAAGATTCCCAAACGACTACAACATGAAAATGGGAAACTTTCAAGAATAGGTCCAGAACAATCAACGCACAACAACTATACCTACGACCAACCCCTATACAATATTCATCAATAGTCCGATTATAAGGTCAGAACCCCACCCTTACCTTAGATTGAAGGTCGCTCGACTTCTCTCTGACCTGAACCTTGCTTTGCTCCTTTTCCTTATTCCTTTGCTCAGCACTTCTCACGACCAATTTCCAGCAACTTCATAATTAACTCTATTCTTTATTATAAATAGGACCTCACAATATTAATATTCTTAATGGGCTTAACAACACACCCGCTATATTTCTACTTCCAACCATTAAAATTAGGCCCAACATAAGTATTCCATTATTCCACTAATTCTAGCATTATCACCATTATTAATCAACTAATTAATTAACTAGTAATAATATAGCAATTTATGACAACAATTCACAACATCTCACAACTTCAACGAATAATTCGAAAATAATTAATTAAATAATTTTAATTAAATTAACAGGCGTTACAACTCTCCCCCAATTAGAATATTTTCGTCCTCAAAAATTTACCTTACTCAAACAACTCAGGATAGGAGTCTCGCATCTTGCTTTCCAACTTCCACGTCATGCTTTCTATAGAATCTCCTAGCCATACTAATTTCACTAGATAAATCTCCTTGCCTCTTAGAGTCTTTATTTTGCGATCTGCGATTCGTACAAGCATCGTCTCCAGAGTAAGATTATCTCATACTTGCACATCATCCATATGAATCACATGAGATGGATCTGAAATATATTTCCGGAGTTGTGACACATGAAACACATCATGCAAATTTGAAAGATTAGGCGGTAAAGCCACTCTATAAGCAATATTTCCAACTCTGTCTAAAATCTGATACGGACCAATAAAACAAAGAGTGAGCTTCTTAGACTTCAATGCACGCCCAACACCAGTCACAGGTGTAACTCTCAAAAATCACATGGTCACCTACTTGAAATTCTAAATCATTCCTTCGCTTGTCATGATAACTCTTCTGTCTACTTTGGGAAGCTTTCATCTTATCTCGAATTAACTTCACCTTCTCGATAGTTTCTCGAACAATTTCAGGTCTAAGCATTACACTTTCTCCAGTCTCAATCCAATATAAAGGAGTTCTACATCTCCGACCATAAAACGCTTCAAAAGGTGCCATTCCAATACTAGAATGGTAATTGTTATTATAAGTGAACTCTATTAACGAAATATAAGTATCCCACGAACCTCCCTGCTCAAGAACACATGCTCTCAATAAATCTTCTAGTGACTGAATAGTCCTCTCAGTTTGACCATTCTTCTGAGGGTGATACGCCAAACTCAACCTCAACTTAGAACCCAACGCCTCTTGCAAACTCTTCCAAAAATCATAAGTAAACCTCAGATCTCTATCTGACACAATACACAAAGGAACACCATGCAACTTTACAATTACACTAGTATAAATCTCTGCCAACTTCGACACTGGAAAACTAATGTTTATAGGAATAAAATAAGCTGACTTCGTAAGCCTATCAAAAATCACCCAAATCAAATCATGTCCTTTTGGAGTATTAGGTAATCCTATTACAAAGTCCATTGAAATGCTAGTCCATTTCCATTATGGAACTTCTAACAGTTGCATCAACCCTGCAGGCTTCTGATGTTCAACTTTTGACTTCTGACAAGTTAAACATGCATACACAAACTGAGCCACATCACTCTTCATTCTATGCCACCAAAACAAATTCTTCAAATCCTCATAAATTTTTGTACCTCCTGGATGAATACTCAACTTGCTTCTATGACTTTCCTCAAGGATCATCCTTTTCATCTCTGCATCGTCAAGAATACAAATTCGATTACGGAATCTCAACACACCTTGCGCATCTAACTTAAAATCTTTATTCTCGGACTGATCGATCCCAACCATCGAGTCTACCAATTTCACATCCAACTTCTGAGCTTCTTTGATACTGTCCAGAAATTCATTATTAATTTTCAACATTCCCAATATAACATTCTGCAGTGTTACTTCGCAAACTAGGCTCATATCTCTGAACTGTTCAATTAATTCCAACTCTTTAACCATCATTGTCGACATATGTAAAGTCTTTCGACTTAATGCATAAGCCACCACATTTGCTTTTCTTGGATGATAATTCAAACCGAAAACGTAATCCTTTAACAACTCCAACCATCTTCGTTGTCTCATATTCAATTCCTTCTGATCAAATAAATACTTTGAACTTTTATGGTTTCTAAATACTTCAAATCTAGAACAATAAAGATAATTCCTCTAAATCTTCAACATAAAAACAACTGCCACAAGCTCTAAATCATGCGTAGGATAGTTCTTTCATAAGTCCTCAACTGCCTTGACGCATAAATAACTACCTTTTCATTCTGCATAAGCACACCTCCTAGACCCATTGGAAGCATCACAATATACCACAAAAGGTTCTCCTGGATTAGGTAATGTCAAAATCAGAGCCGACGTCAATATCTTCTTCAATTCTGTAAAACTTCCTTCACATTAAATATCCCACATAAACGCTTTACCTTTACAAGTCAGCTTAGTCAACGGAAGTGCCAACTTAGAAAAACCATCGACAAACCTTCTATAATAACCAGCTAATCCCAAAAAGCTTCTAGTCTCGGTAGCCGACTTTGGAGTTTCCTATTGCAACACAACATCGACTTTAGATGGATCTACATCAATGCCCCTACCTGAGATAACATAACCAAGAAAACTAATCTCCTTTAACCAAAACACTTAGACAGCTTTGCATACAACTTCTTCTCTTTCAAGACTTGCAATAATATTCTTAAGTGTTCTGCATGCTCTTCCTCCAATTTAGATTAAATCAAAATATCGTCAATGAACACCATTACAAACTGATCTAAATAAGTATGAAAGATACGGTTCATGTATTCCATGAATACTCCCGGTGCATTAGTAACACCGAAAGACATCATCGAATACTCATAATGTCCATAACGCATTCTGAAAGTCGTCTTCTGGATATCTTCATCCTTCACGTTAATCTGATGATAGCCCGACCTCAAATCAATCTTGCTAAACACACGAGTACCCACCAATTTATCCATCAAGTCATCTATTCTTGGAAGTGGATACTTGTTCTTAATCGTCACTTTATTCAATTATCTATAATCAACACAAAGTCTCATACTTACATCTTTCTTCTTTACTAGCAACACTGGAGCTCCCCACGGTAATACACTTGGTCTTACAAATTTCTTTTCAAGTAACTCTTTCAATTGCTTCTTTAATTATGACAATTCATACACAAACATCCTGTATGGTGCCATAGAAATAGGTGTGGTACCAGGTACAAGATCAATAGAAAATTCGACTTCTCTCTCTGGAGGTACATCAAGAATTTCA